ATTTATTGCATAAATTACGTGCACAAAACTTGACAGAAATATTGGTGTTCCATACGTGTGTGACCCGCAATGATGTTGATGACGTAATGCCATTACATTTGGTACAACATGTTAATTTTTAAAATTAAATTCTATAAGGTATATAATAAAAATGCCACTATTTACAGTGGCTAATTTGTGCTATGTCGTATTTTCTATTTTCGCTCCCTGGTGCGCCAGGCGAAAACACGAAAAACGACACAGTGTCCACTTAATCGTACTTTCGCTCCGCGGGGTACCAGGCAAAAACAGGAAAAGACTTAAATGTAATCACTTTGTCGATATTTCGTCATGCGCACCGCCTCGTCTTTCGAACTTACGTGTTTTTGTCTGGCTTATGAAGATGCATGAAATTGATTTTAATGGAAAACCTGCATTACTAATTCAGTAATTTCTAAAAATATACACTTTTAAATCGTTTTATTTTATTTAATTATTATTACAATTATAAAAAGATATAAACTATCAGTTAGACACTAAACTAGCACAGCCACTCATTTGTACAAATATATAAAAATTCCTCGAGCAACAGAAATATATTGAATGAAATGGGAAACCAACATGAGTAGTATTTTAACTACTTATTAGCGCATCAGTAACTTCTAAAATATACACTTGCCAAAAACGTTTGGTTGTTTCTTTAAAGATTATAACATTCATAAAGGAAAAAAAATACTACCAGCACTGGAAGCGACTGAATTAGTATCCTTTGTTAGTATAAAAACACCCCGTCTAATCGATAGCAACAAAACAGAATAATTCCGATTAATCAAACTATAAATGAAATCAATTCAAATCTTAACTAGTATGAATAAATTAAATACTATTTTATATGATAATTATAATGTAATATTACTTTTTATTTTCAAATAATTTTACCATATGAGTATATTTTTTATCCATATGCACCCAATGGGCAGCCGGATATGGCAAAAATATATTACATTCTATAAATAGCGCTACTGAAAAACCATTCTATTTTTAGTACATTGGGATAACACAAAAATGAAGATTTTTCAATAAACGAATTTTTAAAGTATCTAAATAACATTTTAAAATGTTTTTACAAACATATAATGCCCAGTGTTATGAAAAAAAATGTTCACCACATAATGATAAGGCAAATGACCACATGTCAGAAATAGAACTAGTAAAGGCATTGATTATTGACTCTTATTTAAAACATGTTTTACATCATCAATGAAATTAAATGAATACAAAGAAATTCAAGTTTGAAAATTAATATTAAAAATTTGAAAAGCATATAGTTATCAAATAGTTAAAATATTTGATAAAATACCAAATAGTGATTTACTGTACTTCTTATCCACTCTCCAAATATACTGCGTTTTAAATTTGCTATGAAGCGTAAAATAATATTGCAATACCATGCATGAATAAGTTGAACATTAAATATATTAGAGCTCACAACCTACGTGACCTTGTTACTTATACTTGTTACTTGTACTTACGTTAAGGCAGAAAATATAATCTAAATAATAAGACTCTTTAAAAAAGATACTCGGCCGAACTAAAACTGGTTTATTGGAATTAGAATCAGAAGGATTATGATATTGAGCGTATTATTGAATTTTACGTTTGTTTATTTTGAAATATTAAAATTATATGCATATGTTGGCACATACGAAGTATTTTAATCGAAACAAAATATAAAGTCTGATGTAAATCCTTTAAAAGTAAAGAAAAAGTAAATAAGAACTACAAACAAAACAATTTATTTCGTACACAATTATTTTCGTCTTAGTTCAATTTTTACCGTCATGTAATTCTTTTATTTCTATTATTGCGAATATCGTTTTATCTCAAAGAAAAATATTTAAGTAATTGAAGTTTAATCAAATTGAAATTTCAATATAAAGTTTTAAAATGACACCTTTTTGTTGATAAGAAATACCCGAATCAGCAGATTTTCAACCCCTTTGGAAATAACGAAAGAAACCTAAAATCCGAAAAAAAAGACCCGAAAGTAAGAATTCAAATCCAAAAAAATCTTTGACAGACATTTATTATAAACAAACCATCGTTAGCAGTTATATAAATACTTCAGTAGTATGTAAGATATATGAAAACTGTGAATCAACTTTGTATCCATTTTAAGTTCGTTTACTTGTGTGCTTTTTGCTATTTTCATGTGCATGAGTAAACGGGTTCGTGTAGTGGTTTCGTTAATGTTTGACAAAATTCAATACATTATTAAAGCAACGTAAAATATTCTGTAGGAAGATGTATGGTAAAATACGTACGAGAGTTGTAGACCTTATGGGGAAGGCATAGTTAAACAGAAAGTATCTGGTATTAAACCTGATAGTAAAAGAGCTAATGAATGTAAATACATGTAGTTCGTTTCCAGAACTCCTTTTGAGAAGGTCAGATCGGAAGATCTATTGAAAATTAGACGCGTATACCATGTCAGAAAAATCGCTAATGTTATTTTACTTTATTTAAAATGGCCATTCAGATTCCAAATTGTTATTTCAAAATGACTATTGAAATTGTTACATATATTAAGTTCTTCCCTATAAATTTTACAGGAAGTCCAACCGAAAACAGACGGCCTCCGGCCGAAAAAAGGCCCGATGTATGACTTGCTTTTTGTTGTTGTATTTTTTTAAAATTATATTTCTAGTTCTGTTTAAGTATGTATTTATAGGTTTTCTATCATAAAACCATCTTATTATGTTTCTGATTATATGCGAAGAAAATTTTATATGGTTTTCCATCTGTTCAATTTCCTATAGATATAATTATGAAATAATTATTTCAACTTACCTTGAGCTGAAAATATGACATGAAGCAAAACTTATTAGGGGGTCGTTTGTTGAGTTATCTTCCCTTGTACTTGAAATTTTGCTTATTTTAAGGGCAGAAAATTCACATTGAATGTAAGAAAGGCCTTATTTTTTCCACAAAGTTGTCTTCCATCTGAATGGTCGTGTAAAATATTGGAAATCTGAATTATCTACCGTTTCTTCTACACCTAAACCTTTGCCTATTTTCATAAAAAAAAAGTTTTTAATGCACTTCCAAGATTTTTTTAATTGTGACCAAGACTAGAGTAGGAAACACAAACTAATAATAACTATGTTTTTTAGACTAATGTAAGTTAATTGCCCTTAAATTACCTTAAATAGCAAACAATTCAAATGACTATGAATAGAGCTTGGGACGTAATAGGTAGTATTCTGTTAATTAATGCTTTATGGATAAATGTGATATAATTTTCAAAGATACGTTTATTGAAAGTGAATGTTTTTGACCGTGGACTTCATATTCTGACCCTTACTGCATAGGGTTCGGATCTTTGGATTCTCTCATCTGAAATGTCTGAGAGAACTATCTAGCTTGAAGACCGGTGGCTCTACTCAGGTGCCCGCTCGTGTCTGGCATAATATAAACAGGACGCATCCGACGTATTCCTCTACCAGTTAAGCTGGAAAGTCACCGTATGACCTTACCAGTGTCGGTCTGACTTATAATACAACAACAACAACAACTTTACACTTATCGATAGCTTCAAATTATTAAATTGTGCTTTGATATATCAGTTAATGTTAATGTCATTTCTAACATAATAAACACCATTATTAATATTTCATAAACAATACAATAATACAATCAAAATAACAAAATTTCTTTTTGTATAGGAAGGCCACAGGCCCATAATACATATGCGATACCAGTAATGTACAGTGATCTAGAAAATTGCACCAAACGTAAGTTTATAATGTTCTGAAACTCTCGATAAACTATTTAAACATTATAAAATGCAATATCAAAGTATTGTTGTTTATCTGCATATCATACTAGCCACATTTCTTGTAATGAAATATTTATCTTAAATAGTTTTTAACATCAACGAAAACGAGTTTTCAAACCGGAAAATCTTATCATTTGCTATCCGATGATAACAATGATAAATCTTAATTTCGCACGAGATTTTATACACAATGTAATGCTTTTTTTTACAATTTTAACAGATAGATAAGGAATTTTCGGACATACAAAATTATGCTCTTTCTGTCCTGTTTTCAGTTTGAGGTATTGCTTTTTAGTTTATACATAATTTATTTTAGTTCGAATTTATAGGAACCTTAAAACTCTCGATCCGTTACTGGAAACAACCTACGTTGGTATTTTATCTTTTGATAAACAATAGTGGCATTCATTTAGTAGCATAGTTTGTTTGTTGCTGTTCACTATATTTGGATAAATTCTCTTGGTTGTTCTATCAATGGGTTCTCCGGAGTTTGTTCCATTGTTATCTGTTTTTCTAAGTGTTTTGTCGTCTATTCCATTCAATGTCTTGTTGAATGCTATCTGTCATGTCACGTCTCTTTTTGTATGGTATGGTTCGTTACAATTTCTTGCTGTTTGTTCTGTTATCTTGTTAAACTCCCGACAATTTGTGTAGCCAGACAATACCTGCTTTTCTGTTTTTTCCGTTATACAGTATGTCTTGTTATATATATTGTTAGGTCTCTTATTGTCTTTTCCATTGTACTACATGTATATTGTTCCATGGTACTATACATTTTATTGCCGGTTCTGCTTACTTTTCTGTTCTATGTTATTTTTTGTTTGCTGTCAGTAATTTGTTGTTTCTTCCGTTCGTTACTTTTTTACGTTGCGCGTAGTCGTGTGTGCTAGTCAGTGATGGGACTGTTGTAGTTGCATATTCTGTAAAGTCATTGCTTCGTCTTTGTTGTAATGTGTTCTGTTAAGTGTTTTTGCATATTACTTTAGTTGTTCTATTATCGTTCCTTGTCTCCTGTTCCGTTTAGTTATCTCCTCTTGTCTGTATCGTTGCTGTTCTTTTGTCTTGTTCCATTAAGTCTCTTCCGTCACTTCCACTTCGTGTCTTGCTGTTTGTTCCACTCAGTGTCTTGTAGAATATTCCGTCAAGTATTTATATTCCTTATTTCCTGTTACGTGAATTCTGTTCTAACGTAACAACATAAAATATACCACCTTCAGGGGGGCTTTAAATTTCATAACTGTAGAGATATACAAAACACTAATCACATATGACGCAATGACATGTTGCATTATTTTATTTGTTTAACTTGTGTTACAATAGCCTAATGTTACGCCGTCACATTCAGTGCTTTCAGCGCTTTGATCTACATTGCATTGTCAACAAGCATATCACTTTCTTTTATCATCAAATTAAAGATAAGTTTCTCATGGAACTTAAAACGTTTCATTATGCATCATTGTCCGTTTATTTGCTTTAAATGTTTGAATTCGGGAAAAACGTATGCTTGTGATACTATAGTAGCTATTGAACATTTTGGAATTCAGTCTCGGTTTCAGGAAAATTCTACACGAAGATTATCACACAATCTGATATACCTAAGAATGCGGGGTACCCTCTACTAAATTTCCAGGATATGTTAAAGTAACGGCAAAGTTATCTATAAATTATAACTTAAATAGAGTAATATTCTCTTTGACGAGATATAAAAAGTCACGTGGGTTGGCTATCCGTAAAGGTGTTAAAATTTAATTGCATAATAATGTATATAGGACTTTCAAAAACAGTTATTATTCAGAGCGGGCGCTATGATGCAGTGGTAAAACTGTCTGTCTACCAATCAAGGGGTCGTGAGTTCGATCCTTTGCTGCTCCACTAAAAGAATGACAAAACCAGAACATAGAACGAATAGAACATAAAAACAAAGACAGTTAAAACGGTTTAACATACAGATACAGACTAAACGGACCAGAATTCAATACAAAAGACTTTACGGGAAATACATAACGGAGCATACAGAAAAAGACGCCACCTGGCAGATACAAGACAACGAATGGGTCAGACAGGACACAAAACGGAACAGACATAATGGAACAAGGTATGAAAATTATCATTATATTTATTTTCATACCACTCGATGAAAATAAATCCTGTATTTATAGAAGAAACTTGTATATCCTCTATATATTTTTTAAACATTGATAAGTATGCAGTTAACTCTTATGATTTATCAATTTCGACCTTGAACTTACGTCATAACGTTGCATGACAACCTTGTGATCACAGAAGCCTAATTTTCATTTTGTACTGATCAAAATGTTTGTGTATCTTGATGTCAGACCGACATTTAAAACATTCCCGAGACTTACTTAGGTTGTTGTGATCAAAAGTGGGGCGTAATCTGAATTTGAAAAACCATTTACTTAAGTACGAATTAATTTAAACAGAGCATCACGTAAGACAAGAGATGTCTATTAAGCGACTTACAATTACCAATTACGAGTAGTTTTAACAAGATATGCATATCAGTCGAAAATTTGAGCCCCCCATCTCGCACTTGCCCTGGGAATGCTGCTTGTTTCAATAAATTAAAGTAAACATCTCTATAAAAAGCATATTTTGAAATACTGAAATTGAAATCTAAGTGGCGGCATGGCCTAATGGTTAACGCGTGGGACTAGTTATCTAAGGGGAGCTATCCGCGCGGGTTCGAACCTTGTCAGTGGCAAGCCGTTGGTTCCTTGAGCAAGAGGCTTTACACTCATTGCTTAGTACTGGTTGGTTCCAGGAATGGATTCGAAAGTGTGTCTATAAGCGAAAACTTTCTACACATTCGAACTAAAATGAAATCTGTATAAATCAAATACATTTTGTATTGATGAAAACAAAAGAAATGTTATTATGAAAAATTGCGCCGACCTATTTTATCCTGAAACACTTACATTTTCAAGGTCTTTGAAATATTTTACATAAATATCAGACCTTACATTTTTTTTCAATATACAACGTAGTTTTGAGCTAAATGCGTATGAATCCAAACCAGCATAAAAATGTCAAAGGAGATGGGTCTAATAAGAACACGAGGATGCTCTAGGAATGCTAAATCTGCCCACAGACAAAGTACTGGTAGGTAAACATGTTCCGTGGTTTGTATTAGTATATTCTTACTTTTCGGTAGGCATCAGTTACTTGATAAAAGTCAGATTTATATAGAAAGACATGTTTCATATAAAATGCTCAACTGGTTTATTACTTTTTGTATCAAAAACATGAATAACAAAAAATAAACAACAAACAATCATTATCTTTACAAAAGACAATATGTGGTTCAATCTTTGCTAGGTACTTGTCGGGAAATTACCGAGAAAAGGATGGCAAATATTCCGTAAATTTACCGGAAAACATGAAGGAAACAAAGAGTCATCGGCCGAAAAACGTAGCACTACATCTATGGAAGATTGTTCTTCAAGCGAATATTGAATTTGCTTACAAATGTAAATCTAGACAAAAGATTTGTATTACATCAAATAATTGAAATCCTCCCACTTGCTCATTGCACGAGTTTTCCATGTTTTGTTTTGTTTACAAGGCATGTGTATTATCATACTCGTAACTATAACATGTACATATTCAACTAATCACATTGCCTCACCTTTTCATGGTCAAGGTCATATTAAAAAGGTACATAAAGATCATCCGTCAAACGCTGTCTCTAACCATGTTGTAATATTTTTTAAACACTTCAAGCACTTTAATGACGTCATTCATCCATCTTGTAAGTTTGCAGGATTGAAGATCAAGATAAGTGTATTTCCATAGAATTAAGCGCAGTAAGTTGACCGGAAACATGTGATATGTAACCAGAACAGAGCACGTGAGCGTCTCTCGTTTAAAACATCCGGTTTATATTCACAATACACTACATCCGGTTTATATTCATAATACACTTTCTGTTTTGCAACGAATTAAATTGTTCTTAATTATGCCATTATCTGAGACAGTTAACTAACCGGAAGCACATAATGTAGCCGAATGAAGAGCATGTAAAGCGTCGTTTCATAACATCCGGTTAAAATTTTCTCGTCTGCAACATATAAACAATATAAAGGGCACTTCCGGGACTTTTTGACATCCTAATTAATTGTGTTACATCCGTTATCGAGAATCTTTTGACAAACTTCTGAATGTTTTCACGATTTTTCTTTTCCCGCTACTTAATAATGATCCTTTCTTTGGTGCTGCAAGGCCAGCTCTTGCCATAATTTTGTTGTGATGTTTGGAATCGTCAGTTTTAGAGACTGGACATCCCTCCGTTGCTAGCCACTCAGCGTCCATTTTAAAATCATAATCTAAAAGTAAAAATAAAATGTACTATTTTCGGTCTTTTCCAGTTAGTGGTGCAGAAATCGTACATGCGTCGCCAGAAAGGTTTCAATTACTGTCTTTAAGAAAACTATTAAAACCGTAACAGGTCGTTTAATACAATTTACCAGTGCTGTTTAATATGTAAGTTAATGAATATGTAATGAAAATTAAGTCAATATCCCATACTCGAATCTTTGGACACATCAATCATGAATTAAAAAAGAATCGCAAAAATCAGTAATCTAAGTAATATCTTGCCAGAAGCAGGATCTTGAATTGATTTTTCCCTCTATCCCAGTACTAAATTACGCAATAAATTAACGTGATGACAATATAAAGTCGTCTTTGCATTAATAATAATACATTTGAAAATATATATTTCTTTTTGTTTTAGTTAAACTACAATAAGTTCATACGACGAATCGACGATTTATTTTCAGTACAGATATCTTAAATTATACCTGTTTTTAAAAGGCGTCGAGCAATATTTCCAATATGAATTTTATTGCAATGCGCAGCCGCAAAGAAGCACGTCATGCCATTGGATGTTGTTTTATTGACGTCACAATGAAGGTCCAATAAAATGTCTGCAATTTCATTCCAGCCCCTTTGCAGCGCTCTATAGATTGGCGGATTTCCCACAGCGTCCGGTAAATTAACGTCAGCTCCTGAGAAATGTAATTATTCTGAAATTAATCTTGTGTGACAAAATGTTCAAAAATAACTGATCTAAGAAAGTCAATTTCATTGTTTAGTTTAAACATAGTTTATTTCAAACAAGTATACACATTTACAATTTACAAACAGAACTTTACAACACATGAAATGAATGAAAAAGGATCAGAACCGAAAGCTGATGCTTATATAGGTCTTATCCTAGTTTTTATTTGCTAAATATTGGTAGTGTGTATATGTATGTACATGGATATGCTTGAAAGTACAATGAGTAATTATGTAATAAGAATGAATTTTATATTATATACAAAACATATGAGATCGTTGTTGGTCAGAAGAAGGTTTTGTAAAATAATCAACTATCTGAAAAGAGAGGAAAAGAAGAAATAAGATAGCAAAGAAAAGAAGATATTTCAAGACGGCACTAACAGTATGGCATTGATAAAAGAAGGGTATCTGGAGTTAATCGCTTGCTTTTGCTGATATAATCTTGAACAGTAAGAAAAATATTACAGTTAGTATTATCACTCATGTTACAGTCGCCATGTAGTAGTGTGTGCAACGTCATTGGCCACTGTCAAACAAAACACACACTCAGCCAATCAAAATGAGTCTTACATAATAAAGAATTGAAACAGGCTTTGAAACAGAAAAATAAGCAACAAAAAAACATTTGTTAAAATTAAACAGATCTTCTATCATTCAATCAATTTGAAAAATGAGAAATATGAAAATGATCGATAGAAGTGCCTGAAAGGTTTCATGTTACAGAAATTTTGTGCGGTGTATGTCAAGTACATTGTAATTGTTTTTGAATTTGTTGAATTGCCAATCATATGTTGATATAATAATGTAATATATGTCTGACAATAAGACGACGGTGTTACATTTACAATGCCATATGAATAGTGACGAATATCGTTTACAGCACCATAATCCGTATAAACAAGGGAGGTCACTCCCAAAGCATTTCGTGATGATCACTCTTTATCTGGATTTGAAGTATTTCAATAATGTTATGATCACGAATGATCTGGATGTCGAGATAACCTATTTAAAGAAATCCAATGTGTTATCATTAATTTATCAGTTATGTAAGTTATATTAATATAAAGTTTAAATACATATCAGATGTACATAGCAATTTTTCACATCATAAAGGTTCTAAAACGTTTTTAAATACGAGTTAAACCGGTTACGCAATTATTATATGGTGTATACAATTTGAAATTTAAGATCACTTATTTCTCGTGATCATTTCACTGTTTGCTTATTTCATGTTTTGATAATGTTCATCTTATTTCGTACATTTTCAGTAGTTATTATAATGTTTATGATTTTTGTTGTTGTGTGTATCGATCTTTTATTCTTGGGTTGTTCGTAATCTTTTTGTAATTCTAAGAAAAACACATTTTAAGTATATTAGTGTTTTTTTCTCATTTTAACAATTCTTATTATTTTATCGTGTCTTTAGGCAGTATGTATGTGTGAGAGTTGGTGGGGGATGGGGAGGGGGAGGGATGCGGTATGGTGGAAGGGGGCCCTATTGCATCTAAAGCCCGCCGATTGATATTCTATAAAAAAAATAGTGTAAAAACCAATATTATACCACATATTCGGAACAATACTGATAAATCTAGTGTTATCAACGTGCGCGAGTCTCAAAATAGATTGAGGCTTGTCTATTTGGCAAACATGAAAAAATAAATAAATAAATTAAATAAAAAAATTAATAAATAAATAACGCCGCACCATGTGGGCATTTCAAAATATCCCTGATTACTGTTTTGATTTTGCTGACTTAAAAGTGTGGAGATACAATCTAAAAATTTTTTTTCAACGCACTCAAAATGGGCAAACCTTAAAATTAAATTGTTTTTTGACATCTAAATGAATGTCGTCATTTGAATAAATTATGACCGGTTTACGGCAGCGCTGATCTCTTTAAAGATTTGCATGACACAAAATCACTTTATTGTAAAACCTTCGACAATAAACTGCGAAAATACAAACAACTTTAGCAGTTCTTGTTGACAACTGTATAATTTATTGCTTAGCCCTAACGCATGTTTCCAATGTACGCTAGTAAATAAATCGACGAATTACAGTACTTGAAGTCTGAATTGATGTGGATAAATGTAACAGTATTTATTCCTTCTTTCATTTCTTCAAGTGCTCCTTGACAGCAACTTGCAAATTAAAAGCGAACAACAGGATTTTAAGGCAATAAACAACGCATCAACCAATGGGGAAGAGCCTTTTAACGTGACTTTAAATCCTTATTTTAACTGAGATATTTGAAATTGTTTCAATTTGTTTAAATATATTGTGTCTGAAGCATGCATAGGCGACAATGGAAGGATGTGGTAAAATTATGACGTCACGAAAATGTACCCGGATTTAAGGCCAAAATTCAGTATGAAAATAAAGTACAAATCTAATTTGATTGTTTACATTGTCAAAGTGAAAATTAAAACATTTCTTCTACTAAGCAACAACAATACGACAGTGTTACAATGACATGAAAATATAGACACATAAATTATGGGGTCTCTCTTACATTGTGTACACCGGTATTACTGACCTGTGTGAAACCACTCCAAGGATGATGGGAACGCACTACTTTTTACTTGGCGGCTTGAACAACGAAGTGATAGAACAAATCGCAAATGTGGCCAGTTGAATAATAAACTTTTTTCATACTCTGCTGGCATAATAGCCATTACAACATTTTTACACAAAACATGCACCAAACACTCCTTCTGACAATCCTTTATTGGTTTCACAAACCCAGTTTCGTTCAAAACGCATGATAGTATTTCGTCGATTGTTAGTTTTAATTAAAACCGAAAGTGAAAGTAGTTTTGAATATTTGAATTGGAACTATCAATATTGCACTTGCAAAATTAAACTATGGAAAACAGAGATCCCTTGAAAGCAATGAACGATTTTAATCACTTGAAAAGATATATTGTGGTTCATAAAATCAAATTGTCATCCCTAAGCGGACTTCTTTCTGTCGGAGTCATTTTTACCCTCATTTGGGGTGAGTAATGCGTCGTATGACACAGGTCGATATTTGAGAGACCGGTGTGTATACAATGGTCTCTCTTATGCATTATGGTATCGATTGATTGGTTAAGGGAACAAAATGCTAAAAGTATGACATGGTTGTTCTGACACAAGATTTAGGTAACAAAACACTAAAAGTTAATGCAGATGATCGGCAAATTAATAAATAGATCTAAGTAATGACTGAACAAAAATTAATAAATTATTTTCTAAAATATAAAAGAATAATGAATATATCTCATGATAATAAACCTTTTTTTCTTTTCCTTGTTGATGTAATTTTGGCATATGAAATGCATTGGCAGTAAAAAAAAATGAGCCTCCTAATGTCAAAACCAACATAATGGGTTTGCGACCAGCATGGATCCAGACCAGCCTGCGCATCCGCGCAGTCTGATCAGGATCCATGCTGCTCGCTATCAGTTTGTTTACTTGTAATAGGGTCTGTAAGCGAACAGCATGGATCCTGATCAGACTGCGCGGATGCTGGTCGCAAACCCATTATGTTGGTTTTGTCGTGACGCGGCTCATATATGTTCATATAGAACAGCACCCTTAAGTTTTTAGATATCAATTAAAGACACATATGTTAAAGGAGAACGCCTCCAGATTCATGCTAATTTTCATGAACATTTGAAAATGTATTTAACAGTATAATATTGTGAAGTTACCAAAAGAATGCAATTTACACATTATCAATGGCACTTACAACCCATGTAAATTACCAAAAAGATGTCAAAATATGCAAAATTAACACTTACTGCATTAGTAACGCAGTAGAAATATAGTTATAATTATTGAAAAATCGATCATTATTACTAGAATTTTTATTTTTTATACTTTTCCTAAATTCTTAGTTCATTTTTGTCAGGTTTGGTTTTATCGAAATATTTTTGCTCATCTGGAGGCGTGCAGCTTTATCAATATCGAATTTCAAAAAAGAGGTGCACATTATGTAATGACGTCATCATTATCTGCGTTCTTTGATAAAGGGAATGAACATACCCGCGTCGCTCCGAACAAACTGGAATGAATTGCACTTTAACGGACTCGTTAACATTTCTGTTTTATCTAAAAGATATCTCGCTACCATTGACCGACTGAAATTATACGGTCAATGTCAAGGTCTCTTTCTAAATTTGTTCGCGTAGCTATCACTTTACGATAAAATAAAGTGATATCTACACTGATCTAATTTTAAGTTTAAAGTTGCACGCCTTCAGACGAGAAAATAGTTAAAAATATACTATGCTCATCATTGAGTAAAATATTTTAATCAAAGGGATTTATAAAAATATATGACATTGTTATGTTTTATTCGAAAGTAAGAAACTATGTATAGGAAGCTGCGTTCCATTTTACGGTACAAGTCAAATTTGTTCTGTCTTAAAAAAGCTGCCAGTTTTTTAAATGACACTTCATATTGTGACCACCTTTAGTGTGTAGAATTTTATACATTAACATATCTACTTTGTGTGAAGTCAAAACATGTTTACTTTATATTTACAAAGAGACTGTGTGGCAATTATCAATATTTTTCTAATTCCAAAATTGAGCATAGTGTATCTTTAAGAAATCATCATTTTAATACAAACAAAGCAGTTATTATTTCTTTTAAATTTCAACGTTCAGTGTAACGCGTTGCCAATATTGTACGGAAAATATGACCGATTAAAATTATGATTGTACTGCGTTATCTTTTCGCCGTTACGTATGAAGAAGAGACTATTACTGCATATCTTAACGTACAAAAGTATTGTGTGAACTGCTGACAGATGTCTTGTTAATTTTGTAACTTTTACAACCTTTTTCCAATTTTCAATACTTTTTCTTTAGCCCTTTCAGTGGCAATTGATTCTGTGGTCGAGTGGTTCAGGTCAATGACTTTAAATCACTTGCTTCTCACGGCTGTAGGTTCGAGCCACGCATGCGTCGTAGGATTCTACATGTGAGAAAACTATCCAGCTAGCTTACGGAAATCAAGAATGAGATGTTTGTAGAAGAAGCCACAATGAGGAATTGGAAATAGATTTTGAAAATATTGATCGAAATAACGAAATAATTTTTAAAAAAATGATTAGAATGAAATGAAACTTTGTTAGTGAGTCTTAAGTATAAATGTGCATAATAAAAGCCAAGATAATGAGCTAATGGCAGTTTTCAGAAACATCTAAGACAAAGGAGGAATTCGATTATTGTGATCGCTCTGATTCAATACCACATTACAATCTCGAATACACAAGATGAAAAAATAAATCGAAGGATTGATAATGTTGCTGAGATGATAACGAGTGGTGACAGTGGAAAGTTTGGTGCCAGTAATAAAATGTGGTGACAATGTGGTAATAATGTGGTGATTTGATGGTGATAAAAATTCACCAATAATTACAGAACGATTTAACGATTTCTCACCATATTTTACTAGTAGTTTAACAGCGTCTAGTTGACCACGTGTCACAGCTGCCATCAGTGGCGTCTCTCCATTAAAACCACAGATATTGACGTCTGCTTTACCTATATAAATATACGTGAAGTCAGTGTTGAAAATAATATTACAGAAAAAATTCAAAAGAAAAAAAAAATCTAAAAAAATCAGATGAAAAGTCCTGTTCCAGAAAATAATAACTTCATATTTCAGAAAACCATTTATATACCACTATGCATGTATCAATAAGAAATCATTATTATATGTTATTATATAAATGCATGGTTATTAAATATCTATCTTGTATTGCAGAGATCAGTTTCAAAGTAGAAACTTAAACTAAACCTCCAACCCCCCTTAGTAGTTGTTCGGGCGAGTTTGATTTTTTTACTCTTTAGTTTATACAAATTTATTTTAGTTTGATTGTGTCGGAAGCTATAAGCTTATTGAAACACACTCGAATCCGATCCTGGAGCCAATCAGTACTAAGCAATAAATGTAAAGTTTCTTGCTCAAGCAAACAACGGCTTGCTCCTTGAAGGGTTTGAACCCTCGCGTTTAGCAACCCATAGATTACTAGTCCGGAACGTTAACAACTCAAGACACTGGATTACTGGATTAATCGAAATAGTTATTTTTATTATATGCTTGTTAATAAAATACTGATAAATATCGAGGAATTAAAATACGTATTTTCATTTTGCGAATTTTCACTGTAAAAAAATATTTTTCACTACAGTGAAACATATTTTCTTTTTTTTTCTATCAATTAACATAGGGCCTATATATCTAAACTCACCATCCTTGAGAAAAACCTCAGCAATGTCAAGGTGACATTTCTCAATAGCTTCGTGTAATGGCGTGTTACCAAGAATATCTTTCTGATTCGGGCTACATCCGGCCTCAACTAACTGTACAGCGGGGTCAAGCTGTCCGTATCGCGCCGAGTAGAAGAGCAATGATCTATTTTTAGAATCAACCGCATCAACATCCCCGCACAAACAGGGTCCACTCGAATAACGTATCCCTTCTAAATGTTTGGAACGCGAGCGTTTCCGGAATCGGCTGATAACACTTCTAGGACTTGTAGATGTTTCGGACAGACTCCAATTCGACTCGGACACAACCGATAAAGATCTGACAGGAACGCTCTGCCGGTGCACCGAATATTTTGAAGCAGCCGACATGCTCCACATCGACTGGCTGCGCTTGATTTTCTCTACAACCATTTTTGCCGGTGTCTTAGTAGAAAACACCTATGAAATATACAATGTACATAAGATTGATGATTAAAAAAATCCTGAAAAATGTACAAAGATAACAACTGATAAGTTATCAATGTGAAAGTTATATTTATAGCGATACGCATGAATTATGATATCCGCTTTCTCTCTTTTTTTTTATTCAAGATCCGTTTAAGAATATGTTCACTGGATTTGAATTGCAAATTACATAACCAATACTTAATGTTTCATGTAAAATCAATTTCATTGACAATCAATAACTAACACCGTTCGAATCGTAACATTTTAATTTGAGGTAACGTATTTAAAAACAAAAAGGCCCTTTGGCAAATTACTTTCAGTAACATATTAACATTTCATATACATATTATATATATGTAAAATACTTTATGTACACCTTTCATTCATGATTTCCGATTCATATAAACATTTTTATTGGATGTTTTACAACCGGAAGTAGATAGGTCAAAATTAATGTCATTTTAAACTATTATCCATCGTTAATATAGGTCATTTGGTCATTTAGTTTCAGTGGTCGGAAATAACCCTGAATCAGCATGTTTTAACGCTTAAACCTGCTTAATTGAACACCATTGCCACCAGTATAGAGCCTGCTCGGACTTCACGTCTATGCAGTCCGGCCAGGCTCGAAACTGCTGGCTGACTTATTTCAAATTTTCATCTTAATATCCCCGAAATTAATAATGGACTGTTCCAAATATGGAAGCTGGACATGTCCATTTAAGAAATTCCGGAGGTTTGTTCTGCGTTAAATGATAAACGCAGAAGAATGATTTAAATTCAGGTTTTCTACTTAGCTATGTAGATAATAAGAAATTAAATAAACTGGTTAAAAAAGAATGTAAAGGACATTTTACAGATGTACGAAGATACTACGTCAATCATGACTCGTAATTAGGTAATTATCTAAATATATCAACGGTGATGGTTTAATTAATTAAAAATTTCACATAAGACTTTGATTAAAAATGTTGACATCATCAAAATCTAATTTTTGAGAATTGCGGAGGCTTTGTGGTTCATATAATATATCTGCCACTAAAATAAGATGGTATTGGTTCGAGTCATACTGGTAACACGGCCTTGTATGTCTGATAATGATAATAATGATATTAATAATAATAATAATAATAATAATAATAATAATAATAATAATAATAATAATAATAATAATAATAATAATGATAATGATAATAATAATAATAATAATAATAATAATAATAATAATAATAATAATTATAATAATAATAATAATTATATAGTTATAAAACAATTTTCAAACATCGTAGAATATGTAAAACATGTACTGCAAATATTTGTACATATTATATGTAATCATTAAAATATATACATTTATTTCTTATTGAAAAATGTGACTAAGACTTTTATAGAAAATAGATATTTAATTCCTCCATTATTTTCATGAAATGTTAAATTCGGTAATTTCTTTATAAATAATGTTTTTTGGAACTTACAAAATTGACAAATTTTAATTTGAGCATCATATTTAAGATATAAAACCATAAAAAATGTGTTACGGGATCTTTAAATATGCCGGAGCTATGATATTAAGCTTCAGTTAAGGTAAGCCGGAGATATGATTTAGGTCCATTTAATGTTAATAGGAGCGTTGATTTGGCTTGAGTTAAGCCAAGCCTGTGCTAAAAGTGAGTACCGTTTAGCATATATATAATAGGTATATGTTACCGATGTTAACCTTTGTCACCAGCTTAGGCAAGCCGGAGCTAAGATTTAGCACTAGTTTAGGCAAGACGAAGCTAAAATTAAGCACCAGTTTAGGCAAGCCGAAGCTTAGATTTAGCACTAGTGTAGGCAAGCCAAAGCATAGATTAAGCACTAGTTTAGGCAAGCCGGAGCTAAGATTTAGCAATAGTGTAGGCAAGCCAAAGCATAGATTAAGCACTAGTGTAGGCAAGCCAAAGCATAGATTAAGCACTAGTGTAGGCAAGCCAAAGCATAGATTAAGCACTAGTGTAGGCAAGCCAAAGCATAGATTAAGCACAAGGGTAGGCAAGCCAAAGCATAGATTAAGCACTAGTGTAGGCAAGCCAAAGCACAGATAAAGCACTAGTGTAGGCAAGCCAAAGCATATATTAAGCACTAGTGTAGGCAAGCCAAAGCATAAGCACTAGTGTAGGCAAGCTAAAGCATAGATTAAGCACTAGTGTAGGCAAGCCAAAGCATAGATTAAGCACTTGTTTAGGCAAGCCAAATCAAGCACTAGTTTAGGCAATCCGGAGCTAAGATTAAGCACTAGTTTAGGCAAGACGAAGCTAAAATTAAGCACCAGTTTAGGCAAGCCGAAGCTTAGATCAGTTCCAGTTTAGGCAAGCCGGAGCTAAGATTTAGCCTTAGTTTAGATAAGCCGAAGCTAAGATCTACCCAAGTTAAGGCAAACGGAGTTAAGATTTAGCGCCAGTTAAGGCAAACCGGAGCTAAGATTTAGCACTAGTTTAGACAAGCCGGAGCTAAGATTAAGCACCTGTTAAGGCAACTCGGAGCTTTGTTTTAGCACCAGTAAAGGCAAACCGGAGCTAAGATTTAGCACCAGTTTAGGCAAGCCGGAGCTTAGAATAAGCAACGTTTAGGCACACCGGTCCTAATATTTAGCACCAAATTAAGTAAACCGCAGCGGATATTTCGCTCAGGTTCAGGTGAGTGGGAGCAAAAGTTTAGCGTTGGTTTCAAAAAGCCGATGCTAAGACATTAGAACTACCTTTTTGATGCGGCCTTTTCACTTCTTAAATATTTCAAAATATAGTGAAAGAGAAAAATGTTATACCTTATTCAACCAATTTAATCCAAAGTTTAAGTAGCTCTACGATAAACGTGTTGACTATATCACGAATGTTTTGGAAAATTTTAGATAACGTTCATTTAATATATGAACTCACAAGTTTATCTACGCATGCGCAGTAACAATTTAAGTACACGCGTATTTCGACGGTAAGAAAAATGTCCAACCTAAAAGTTAAGAGAATTATGAAAAAAGATAAGTAAAATAAACGGATTAACCTCAATATTTTGAAATAGTTTGGTTATTGTTTTATTGATACCAGGATACGTGGTTCTACATGTATTTATTTTATATGTTTAAAGCAAAACAGTATTATCAGTATACGCATAAAGAACCACTTAGAACAGTGTTACATGGTATTAATCTACATAAGACAATCTGACAATTTCAATTATATTAACAAAGACCTACATGATCTTTTTTTCATTTTTATCATTTAAAGGTAAAATATATATTTCTAAGAATTATTATTAAGAAATATGTCTTCTATGTAAGTGAAAAATTATTATTGAACTCATGTCTTTTCAACATTAAAGGGACTCCACTGAGGTTTTTTGACATGATGGGACTGGAAATATTTATTCTGAGATTTTTGTTCCATTAAATATAGGTCTGGACTAGTCAATTTTGAACACACTCATTCATTGCCCTTGTTTTTCCAGAATAATAATTTTTATTGTGCAAATTGCATGAACCCTAAAAAAAGAAAAGCGTTGCAATGCTTTTAGTCAAATTGGGCTAAGAACCTCACACACAAATCGATATTCAATTTAATTTTGATTATATTTCTGTTTTATCTTCTTTGCAGGATTTTACAATTTAAGTGTTTCGCATGATCTATGTAAAAAATTCAATTTTTATGTTGAAGGCATTTTGGCCTCAGTGAAGCTCCTTTAACCTTTTGGAACCGAAAGTGATTAGCCAATGCTGACAGCAAAGTGCTACACCAGCCTTAACATCCATGCAGCATGGTCAGACTATATACTCGTACTTTCCGCTTTGATATTGAAATCCCTTAAATGAAAATGGACTGTCCCAAATTGAAAGCTTGGCAAAATCCATTACACAAATAAATCAGGTCATGGGTAAAAAGTAGATTAATGATTACATACTACGGTATTGTTGACTTATATTTATATTATGTCAAAAACGGCATGCTGTCCCAGGTCAAGTTAATTTGGCGTCAGTCACGTACAAGGCAAAAATATATATATTTATAAATAACATATTAGAAATGACCTTGAGTGGACTAGGACATACTCCATGGTACTAAGTTATCAAGTTTAATAATCGCTGCAATGATTTTAATTATGCCCATATAATTAAGTGAAGTATACTGTTCAAAGCCATTCTTACAATCAATGTGCTCTGTTTAGACAATCTGCCAGGTCCAAATGCCTTATTAAAGTAATAAACAACCATTTGGCCGTCAAATATGGCATTGCGAAAATGTCAGCCATTTCAAAATATCTAAACTGTCGACAAGGTACTCAATTTCGACTTACTTTACCGTAGTGAAATTTTAGAACGCAATCCTGCGTAGCTAAGAAATCTTTCGGCGTATCTGTATTGACCTTTTTAAATCTTTCAGAACGAGGTTAATATCTGCGCCGGTGCTCGTAAGAATGATAAATTTATGTGATTTACAATCATGAGCATCGGGATGACATTGGACACCATCAAATGAAGGTCATTAACTGTCAATGAACTATTAGACTTACACTAACTTATCCATATCTCTTCAAAGTTGTTAACATCATTATAAATACTTGTAAAACATTAAGTGTAAGTTGTCCGGTTAAAGTAGTCAAGAACGGCAGTAATGCAGACGCAAACTAAGTACATGCAACCTACTTTTTTTTTTAAATCTTCAAATGCGAATCTGAAAAGAGGTAAGCATGTTCCGTATCAAGTAATGATCTATAAAGTTTTAAACCAACATAATGGGTTTGCGACCAGCATGGATCCAGACCAGCCTGCGCATCCGCGCAGTCTGATCAGGATCCATGCTGTTCGCTATCAGTTTCTCTGCTTGTTATAGTGTTTGTAAGCGAACAGCATGGATCCTGATCAGACTACGCGGATGCGCAGGCTGGTTTGGATCCATGCTGGTCGCAAACCCATTATGTTGGTTTTGTCGTGACACGGCTCAATTATATAGTTATATACTACA